CCTCATCATCAGTGAACTTAACTGACATCTCATGAGAGGGATCGAATGAGGCACCTTTGAAGCCGCGGATTGCTCCATCGCACACACTGGCTCTATTAATATTGAACCTGCTGCAAGATGTATTTGTTATTTTTGCAGAGAGTTCTGTAACAATGTGTGCTGCAGTCAGGTATTCTGTGCTGGGAAAGACAAAGTGATGTATTGTAATATTAAATGATGAAGCTAGTAATAAGATTTACAGAATAGAATAGAAAAATTAAGTGGTAATAGTAACAATTAATACCTTTGCTCCATTGTGTCTTCTGGCTCAGACTGGCTATCAATATTGATAAGTGCATACACAGTTGTGTAGTTGCTGCAGTGAGAAGACAGTTGAATAATTACTTTCAAATACCTAATATATGCATGACAGTCATATTTACAAAAGGATGTCGATCCTCTTCCTGTTTTTTCAATACATTGGGTTCTAAACTGACAACAGCACTTTTGTCATACTCCTGCACAATCCTTGTAAACATTTGAAATGGATGCAACAAAATATATCTGATCTTTGAAAAATATTTGTGGGTGTTTTTTGTATTGTCTTCACTAAGATGTCAGATGTTGTGGGTGTCATTTGGAAATGTATAAAAGTATAATTGTTCTGCTTCCTGGCAATGTTACCCACTGTGATTGGAGGCTATACAAACAAACAAATGTAAAATAAAGATACACAGCAAACAACTGTGTCACGATGCAACTGTCAACCTCGTTTACCTGTAGAAGTGGTTCTGACCCGGGGCAGACTGGACCTCTTCCTGGAATGGGGTTGGTGCTCCATCCTATTTTTACCCAGGAAATAAGTGCACACAAAGGTATTTATTGATTTCATGTTCACAAATTCAAACCTACATGGTATAATTACATTTGTAATTAGTCTTACCCGATCAGACGCTGGTTGTGGGTGCCTGAGAGGTCTGATAAAGGTTAACAACAAATATATTCAAACTACTGTACTGTTAAAACATTCTGCTTCTTGTGGCACAAAATAATATGTTGACAATGTTTTATTTTACCCTGCAAACTGTTGTCCATTTGTGGAGTGCTCACTTTTGGAACATTTGGAATGTCCCACACCTGCATACAACACAGAAATGACTGACTGAAATAAAATAAATTCACTTTAATTAAGAATAAATGCCACGATAAATCCAAACTGACCAAGGTACATTATATTGTTGACCGTCCTTTAACTCTCACATTAGGATTTACATTGAAGCACAATAAACCAACTCCTCTCTGCACCTATAATATATCTATATGATGTCAAGAGTTACATTTAGGTGCACAGACAGTGCTGTCTCTTGACTTGCAAGCTCTTTCACCAAACAAGCTAACGCTAGCTGGGTAAATATGACGCTCTTTGTATCAAAACAAAACTTACCTTTTTATATATCGTCTTTTTCCACTTCGATCAACTTCGTTTCCTCCGGCTTCAATTTGCAGCACTTTTGTTCGTTCCCTCTATGTCTGGTCAGACATCAATCTGTTCCACGTAGCGCGCCCCCTAGAGGCCTGGAGCACTTCCGGAATGTTTTTTTTTTGTATGTGTTTTGGGATTTGTATGTGCTTTGGATTTTGCATGTCGTTTTGGTATTTGCAGCGTTTTTTTGTTGCGTTTGTTTTCGGGGTTTGTGTGTTGTATTTAGTTTGCATCATTTCTGTAAATGCAGCGTTTTTTGGTTGTATTTGTTTTCAGGATTTGTTTGTTTTTCATTTCAGGATTTGCAGCTGTTTCCTGCTAATGTATTTGTTTTTGGCCGTTGTTCCGCGTTTGCACCTGCCGGCCACCGTAAAGGGGTGGTATTTGGAGCATTCAACACAAACATGGACAAGCGTACTGACAGCGCAGCGCGTCATACTTCCTGAATAGAAAAGTCAACTATAATATTAGACAAATATGAAGACGTTAAACTTTAAACATCCATGACTTAAACACTTTATCCAGGATAAAAGCAACATAGTTACACCTGCAGTTTGAATGCGTACATTAACAGGTTTATGATATGATATTTAGGAGCAGACTAGGTTCCAGGATAAGTTACCGTGGAGATCTAGCCCGCTAAAAAGTGAACCAGCTTCGTAGGACCGGAAATCCCTGAAGTTAGCTTGCTAAATGAAAATCCTGATTCGTAGTAGCCTACTGGTTACTGGTTAGCCGCTTAGCACAAGTTACCATGGAGATCTAGCCCGCTAAAAAGAGAACCAGCGTCGTAGGACCGGAAACCCAGAGTTTTCCCTGAAGTTAGCCCGCTAAGCGAAAATCCGGCTTCGTCGTACAGGCCTCTGTAGTCAGGATTCCTAGCATAGGTCCAGCCTGAACACAGGTCTAATCAGAACAAGTGAAACACCTGTGTGAGTGTGCAGCGCCTGTAATTGCCTTCCTTCAAGTCTGCCTCAAGCCAGTGCTTCTCTCTACTATTCCAGTGATATTGTTGACCAAAAACACATACTAAAACATGGATAAAAGTAACTGCAACATGTTGATTCAGAATTAGGCTCAACAAAGAAAGGACTGTTATAACAAAGAAACTGAAAAGGTCAAATGTTCTTCTTTCCTCTGTGCAATAGCAAGTTTGTCATCAGTGTTCAAAGCTGTAGCCTACTGTATCTTTGTTTTAAGGTTTGTCTATTATATCATAGCTTTCTGTAAAATATAAACATTTGGTCAAGCTCTTCTGAAAAACTCTTTCCCCATAACCTGACTTAACGGGCCCTCCACACTACAAGCGTTTCAGGCGTAAAATTACGCCTCTAGCGCGTCTGCCCATTCACTTTGAATGGGGTGACGTCACGTCCGCTCACGTTTTCGCCGAACTGCATCACGGGAAGGCAAGCGTAACTTTGAGAGCGTCTCGCGCGTAAAAAGTTGAACAATGTTGAACTTTTTACGCACGAAACGCTCTCTCGGTTCCTGACAAGTGAGCGTAAGCCAATCAAATCCCGTTTCAGAAAATCTGACAGCTCAAGCCGTAGCCAATCAAAAACCGCGCATACGCTGGGAGAGATATCCTGAGATATCCCGCCGTTCATGTCTATATTTGAAATAAAATGGACGAGGTTATAATCGTAGCGGTAGCGAATCACCCTGTATTATTTGATGTGACCCTGTTCACCTACCGGGATAGAAACCAGAGGAACCAGGCATGGAAGGAGGTGGCAGAGACAGTGGGGGAAACTGGTAGGTTTTCGCCTGTTTGGGGATTTTATATCCAGTTTACTTTATGTTAACATATAGCTAATGAAACATAGCCGGTATATTTAGCATAAAATAGCGCCATAGACATTAATCACATACATGTTAATCATCCGCTGCCACATCATAGACTATATTGCATTACATTAATGCACACAATGTCATACTCCTTTCACATTTCTTAGTTTTATATATATATATGCAAAAATTCATTCCTAGCATTCTATTTCCATGTAAATTACTGCTTTATTTAATTGTTATCTTTTTGCAATTTAACTGTACAATACATGTTGTGTTTTATATTAGATTTCTTGTTTTGTATATATGCACCATGACATCAAGTCAAATTCCTAGTATGTGCAAAGCTACCTGGCAATAAACTTGTTTTTGATTCTGATAAAGTGTGACATGTAAAACCTTGTATGCAATTGAAAGGGATTTGGTTTTCATTAATGGAGCAATCATTTTCTGAAATTCAAGAAATTAACTGTATTCTTTCATTTTCATTTTATTAGACGAAGTGTGCAAAAAGCGGTGGAAGTCCCTCAGGGACCGATACCGCAGGGAGAGGATCCTGGAGAAGGAAGGGAAAAGTAGCGGGGCAGGGGCTTCCGGGGGATCTAAGCCCTGGCGTCTCGCGGCAGTAATGAGCTTTTTAAAGCCCTTCATGCTGGACCGTGAGACGTCCAGCAATTTCCCCCGGCAACCCCTGCCTCCACCCACCGGAGCAGAAGAAGAGGAAGACTCTATGGGTGACAGCCTGGATGACAGTCTGGAAAGCCAGCCAGAGCCAGGTAGCAGTCAGCCGGCCAGTCAGCCGGCCAGTGTGCCGGCCAGTGTGCCAGACGGTGTGCCAGACGGTGTGCCAGCATTCCGGGGGAAGAAGAGCAGGGGAAGGGAGATGTCCCCTTTTGAGGAGAACCTGCTGTCGGCCGTAGGCCCGATGCTGGCCATGCCACCACCCCCACCACCAGTGGTGGAGGTGGAAGACGAGGACCTCCTTTTTTTAAGGAGTCTCTGGCCTGCAATGCAAAAGCTGAGCAGGACGAGCAGCATGAGACTGAAAATGAAGCTACAAGAGGCGGTCCTGGAGGCCACAGAAATGGACATTAATAATTAATTAATTAATTAGATACTGATACACATTACATCTTTTTACACTCATCACACACATCACATAAATAAAAGTTATTTAAAAGTATGTTATGGCTATACTGTGTCTTGACTTGTTCATGTGGTTTGTCAGTTACAACATACCAGGAGCTTCTTGTATATCGATATATAATGTGCTGTCTTCTGTAATTATTCAGGTGAAACCCTGATGAAAATTATGAGTGGTTTATCACTAAAAACAGGGCTGAAGGAAAAAGGTTGTTAGTTATATCATGATATCAATTCAAGAAACATGTTTATTAGGAATGGTTGATTTTAAAATGGCTCATTTGGAATATTTGCTTTTTAAAGAAAATGGGTAGCTCTTAAAAGAGCTTTTTGGTTTGGAGACAAATATGGGCCTACACCACATTTGCCTGCCATCGCACTGCCCCCTCCTCGTTGAAGTAGGAGCAGAAGGTCTCCCGCTGTTGGATGGATCGCCGTGTGGCATTGTTGGAGCCCATCCTCGGTGCATCACACAGGGTTGGAGTAACTTCATCCGTGGACCTTGCGATAGGTGTGCGTGATGGCATATCAATGGTCTTCCTGCGGAGGAAGTTATGCAACACACAGGCAGCCTTCACACACAACTCCGTCACCTCGGGGCTGATGGTGATGACACGCCTGAGCATTCTCCACTGGGTTGAGAGGATGCCAAACGCACATTCAACCACCAACCTGGCACGGCTGAGGCGGTAGTTAAATAACCTCCTTTCACGGGTGAGGTGACGTCCAGGGAATGGACGCAGAAGGTTGTCCAGCAGCGGAAATGCCTCATCTCCAACGAAGACATGGGGGAGAGGGCCCCGCCGCTCTGATCCTGCGATGACGGTGTCAGGTGGTAGCTGCAGACTGCCGTCTCGGAGGCTCTCTCCAAATGCAGAATTCCGCAGGCTCCCACTGTCGCTGCTCCTCCCAAAGCCTCCAACATCCACTACCACACGACGTGCTTCCCATCTATGGCACCAACACAGTTGGGAAACTCCCAGCGCTCCTGGAACCCAGCAGCGATGGCTCTCCAATCCTCCACCTGTGGTACCGGCATGCACTCCTCGACCAGGGCGGTCCAGATGGCCCCCGCAACCTCCTTCACAATGACTGCCACTGTAGAACGCCCGACCCGATAGCTGAAGGCTATCGTCGCGTACGAGTCACCAGTTGCCAGGTACCTGAGAAAAAAAGATATATACATGATTACAAAATATATTTATTCAGACCCCACACACTCACAGACCACAGATCCCCCCCTCCACACATTGAACACAGACACACACATTGAACAGACACACACACATTGAACAGACACACACATTGAACACAGACACACACACATTGAACACAGACACACACACATTGAACAGACACACACATTGAACACAGACACACACATTGACCACAGACACACAGACACACACATTGAACACAGACAGACACACAGATCCCCACACACACATTGATCACAGACACAGACACACACGCCATGTACACAGGGGAGCAATACTGTGTTTACCTAGATATCTTAATTAATGTTACCCATCTGAACTAAATCACAGACTTCAGTCATCATTCGTGCATTCTCTCTCCTTCTATACAGAGTCAGATTAAAGAAGTAGAAATACACAAAACGTACCGTAGGCAGATGGCGAGTCGCTCGGCGGGGCCGATTGACATACGCAGATGGGTGTCCACCTTTGTAATCAGTGGGCCCACCTTTCCGAGCAACTCGTCGAACACCTCCTTGCTCATCCTGAAGTACCTCTGAAAAAGGCGGTCATCGAGACGGAGCTCCTGGACGAGAAGGTGGTATTCCCCCCTTTGTAGACGCTTTCGGAGTATCGGGTGTACCCAGAAGCGACGCACACTACACGGCCTCATGCGAGACAATGTATACACTAAATGCAACCTTGCACACACACGAGTTACCCTGCTTACCCTTGCTACAACACCGGCATCCATTTTAGCAATAGTGGAGAAGAACCGGGGTTTTTCACTTTGTATGTCCGGGGCGGGAGATTCACATGGAGATTCTGATTGGTTGTTGGTCGCGGGGCTCGAAGAAACGCCCCAAGCGTAAATCTTGGGGCGTTGGAAGCGAATTTTACGCTTGTAGTGTGGCCGGCCCGTTAGGTCTCTGCATGGTGACGCTATGAGCTAGTGACCATCGTAAATATTTGAGAAGAAAGCTCACATAATTTGCAAATGTACCATGCCACCAGAAGGAAATTATTGTACTCCCATTTCTCACATATAATGGAATTTAATGGGAGGAATTGTATTTCCATTTAGGAACTGTAAATAATTCACATTGAATGGGACACATCGAGTGTCTTCTGACTACATCTGACGACTTGATTATGTCTGGCTCTGTTTGGTTGTTATGCCCTACTAAAAGTGAGGTCAGTTGTTTCAAAAAAGTCATTTATAGAGGCTGAACACATTGAGTCAGGCTGAACACATTGAGGCCACAGGCTGAACACATTGAGGCCACAGGCTGAACACATTGAGGCCACAGGCTGAACACGTTGAGGCCACACGCGCCAGACATACACACCTGTCGCTGCTGTGTGGAGGAGATTTCGCAATGGAGGAGTCCCGCGGCTGAAGGCCGCCATCCGCTGGGGAGACCTGCACAGCTGTTTTCTGCTTCTGCCGGTGCGGAGGCCTGATCGGGGGATATCGCGGAGAAACCGGAGTGTTGCCACACTGCTGGTTGCCTATTCCTTGCTGCTGTCCGTGGTTTTGTTTCGGGAACTTCGTGGATGCTGTTGTGCTGCAATGGGAAAATGGCAAATGTCGTGTTTCTGCTGTGCCTTTTTTGACTGTGCTGGACAATGAGAAGATCGGTAGTCATCCTGAAAAATCTGCTGGATTCGGGTCTGTTCTGTCGCCGGCAGTGGACATCCCCTGTACAGGTTCGGATGGGTTGCACAAACATTTGCTGGTTGCACTGTCGCGGACATTCATCTCGTCAAATGTCTGTCTTTCTCACTTGCCTGCCACGATGGTCCTTCAGAATTGTTTTTTGAACTCTAATCTCACTTTCGCGAAGTTTTCTGGTGACTCTAAAACAGTTGACAATGTTTGTGTGTTGATTAAGAGGAAAAGGTGCTTGGTATTTTTATTGTTGTTGCTATCGGGGAATGTACAGCCAAATCCGGGTCCACCTAGTACTTTTAGTCAAATAGCTACTCCTGCTGATTTTATTTCTAGATCGGGGTTAGGTTTAATTCATTTAAATGTGCGTAGTCTGTTACCTAAATTAGATTTTGTCCGTATTTGGGCGAGTTCAACTGATGCTGATGTCATTGTCTTATCAGAAACGTGGCTTGACAAATCCATCCTGGCCTCTGACATTTACATAAATGGTTACAATGTATATCGCACTGACCGTCCTAAAAAAGGTGGTGGCGTTGCCATTTATGTGAAAAATAAGTTTTGTGTAACAAATATGGTTTCCAAATCGGTTAGTAAACAACTGGAATTTTTAGCTGTGAATGTCGAAGTCACAAAGGGTCAACAGGTCATGGTGGTGGGTTGCTACAGACCCCCCTCAGCTGTCAAGGACTCCTTATCTTCACTGGCAAAACTGTTATCTCAACTTTCCTACAAGGAAATAGTGCTGCTTGGTGATTTTAATTGGGACTGGTTAACTTCTGTGTCAGAGGACTTTAAAAACCTGTGTACCTCTTTGAACATTACTCAGATTGTGGATAGTCCTACTCGCCCAAACATTAAGTCCCCAAATAAATCCTCCTTAATTGATCTCATTTTAACAAATGTGCCACATAAATACTCATCTGTGGGAGTATTTGCTAATGATGTGAGTGACCACTGTGTTGTAGCCACAATTAGGGACACTAAGATCCAAAAAGAAACCACGCATTATCACAAGGAGAGATAAAAAACACTTTGTGGAGCAGGGTTTTTTACATGATCTGTTTGATTTTGATTGGGGTAAGATCAATCTGTGTGCGGATGTAGAAACTGCATGGTCTTATTTTTATCTTGGTTTTATGAAAATTATAGATAAACATGCACCTCTGCGTAAATTCAGAGTGAAGGGTCGAGACAATCCCTGGTTTTCCGCTGAACTGTCCAGTCTCCTTCATGAGAGAAACAATGCCTGGGCTAAGGCTAGGAAATCAGGCTCAGAGGTAGAATGGCTACGCTTTAGGCAGCTAAGAAATAGCTTCACATCACAAATAAAAAGTGCTAAATCAAAGTTCTATTTGTCAGTTACCACAGAAAATCTGAATAATCCTAGGAAATTTTGGAAAGCCATACAATCGATTTCCACTGGTGATATTCCAAATGAGCTACCTCCATGCCTTACCATAGAATCTGGCATTATATCAGACAGGGCTACTATGCTCAATTGTTTTAATAAGCATTTTGTGTCTTGTGGCTCGCTGTTTGATTCTGTCACTGACTGTGCTTCTGCTTCTGTGAACGCTCCAATCCTTGAACAATGTGGTCTGGAAAACCCTTTCAGTTTTACCCCTTTTACTGTTGGTGTTGTCCATGATGTTTTATCCAAGTTAGATCCTAGGAAACCGGCTGGCCCGGACAACCTAGAACCTTTCTTTTTAAAGATAGCTGTAGATTTTATTGCTCCACCGCTTACTTCTCTTTTTAACCTCTCCCTTAGCACAAATACAATTCCTAAAGTATGGAAGTCTGCTTATGTCTTGCCTTTACTGAAAGCAGGGGAGGCAACTATTTTAAATAACTATAGGCCAATTTCGAAATTGTCAGTTCTGGCTAAAGTGCTTGAACGACTGGTGAGTGAGCAAGTAAAGGACTTTTTATGTATAAATGATATCCTGTCGAAACATCAGTCGGGCTTCAGGAAAAAACATAGCACCATCACTGCCACAATGAAAGTTGTAAATGACATCACTTATTTTTTAGATAATAAGCAGAGTTGTGCAGCTCTGTTTATTGATCTCTCTAAAGCGTTTGACACCGTTGATCATCGCATTTTAAAACAGAGGCTACTCAGCATTGGCTTGTCCAGCCTTGCAGTGGGGTGGTTTGTGAACTACCTCTCTGAAAGGTCCCAATGTGTACACTTTGATGGGCTCACTTCTGAGTGGTTGAGCATTTCTAATGGTGTACCTCAGGGTTCTGTTCTAGGTCCACTTTTATTCTCCATTTATATTAATAGCTTGGGTGATAATGTGGAGGAAGCTACCTTACATTTTTATGCGGATGATACTGTGATGTATTGTGCAGGTACCTCAGTTAAGGAGGCTGTTGTTAAATTACAGACTGTTTTTAACACTGTTCAGACTCAGCTCTCAGCGCTTAAGCTTCTTTTAAATGTGGATAAAACCAAGTTAATGCTCTTTTCAAAAGCTAAAAAGTCACCAGAGCCTGTTTTAGATATTGTAACCATGCAAGGAAAAAAACTTGAAGTGGTAACCTCTTACAAATACCTTGGTATCTGGCTTGATGACTGTCTTTCTTTTAAACTGCATGTAAATAACCTGCTTAAAAAACTGAGGGTTAGGCTAGGTTTTTTTTATAGAAACAAGTCCTGTTTCTCTCTTGAGGCCAGGAAAAGGCTAGTCACTGTGACCTTTTTACCTGTGCTGGACTATGGTGATCTATTTTATATGAATACGCCGGCCAATTACCTCACCAAGATAGATGCCGCCTATCATAGTGCACTAAGGTTTGTGACAGACTGTAAGACTTTGACTCATCATTGTACCCTGTATACAAGGGCAGGGTTGCTTTCACTTACTGTACTGCGGCTAAATCACTGGTATCTTTTTATTTATAAAGCAATGTTAGGGAAACTTCCGTCTTACATCTGTTCCCTGATCTCACAGCGTATTTTAAATGGCTACTGCCTGAGATCTAAAGCTGTGGTTGTATTACATGTGCCAACTGCTTGGACTGTATTAGGAAATACAGCTTTTAGATGCGCAGCGCTGCTAGCATGGAACAGTCTACAAAAGGAATGGAAGCTAAGCGGTTTGATTCCATTTCATGTTTTTAAAGCTAGGATAGACGCTATACAATCAGAAAATATTGGTGTCTGTAAATGCTACTAGTATACAAACTGTAGTATCATATAATGTCCTTTGTTTTCTGTCATGTTTGTATTCATGTTTGGAACTAATTGAAGCAGGTCACCATTGTAAAAGAGGTCTATGATCTCAATGGGTTTTATCTGTATAAATAAAGGTTTTGAATTGAATTGAATTGAATTGACCTAATTAAGAGTTAGGAGAGAATGTCATCATAAAAAAGAAAACAGATATTTCCGTCTCCCGAGTGTTACAGCCATTTAGTCAGCCGTCTTTATCTCTACTCTGCAGACAGAAGCATAGTAATACTCATCAATAATGTCATGCAGTGCATAAAGAGAAGCCTATCCTGAAAAGTTTAGGGAGAACAACAATCTGTGATGTACATTTATGTAGATTTAATTTAATCTAGACGGGAAAAGTTTGCTGGGTTTCGGCTTCATTTAACAGGAAAACAAACGACGACAGCCGGCTCTAAAAACTGTTTTCCCAACGCCAATTCTGCTACTGTAGAGTTTTGCCACTAGGATTTTAATTTACATTAAGGCACTCCAAAGATTTCGGATGTCCACCATAAAGTCAGGTATAAATGTACTAATACATATTTGTTGTAGTTAAAGTAGTTAGTAGTTATAATTTCAACATTTAGATTTTAGAAGCAAAATCAGTACTTCTGACTGGTAATGACCATTTTTAACAGCAGGGTACACAAGCAGGGTAAAGCAGATAAAAGGCTGCACATGACTTAAATCGGATCAAAGACTCAGAGATGGAGTGGGAGTAGGTTAAGTAGCTGTTTATTCAATAATCTGTATTATTTTGTCATGTTTTTTAAGATCCAGACAAGTAAAATTAAACACCTCCCAGTATTAAAAAAAAAAGCAATTTTTATTATCATGGAGGAGGAGTTTTCCGGTAAAACTGAACCATTGTAACCAGATTGTTTTCACTCAAAGTCACACAAATTAGAATCATTCACAAATACAGCATTGTTACATTATTGTTGTTACAGCAGTTTCTTTTCTGCTGGCTCAGCACAAACTAATCACTGCCAGCCAAAACAATGGAGCAGGACT